AAAGTTAAGGGCTTGCTACTAGAGGACAAGCTATTTCTATAGCTATCTCTAAAGAGGTATGTTATTTAAAGCCGTCATTTCTGCAGAATGAATACGGCCTAACCTCATTTTCGTCAACGAGAATCAACCACCGTAACCTCATTTTGTATCTCCTCTCATCAGACATCTTCCCAGACCCTTATTCTTCAACTCCCGGCCTCTCCGGCGACCACCTCTTCACTCTCCACCCTCAGCCGTTCCCTAATCCCCCTCCACCCCCTTCCCACTACATCTGCCATGACATCCCCCATGACACCCCCCCTCAGCTTTTCCACCGCCTCCTCCACACTTACCAAATAACTCTCATACGTCCTCTCCTCTTCATCCACACTCGTTCCCTCATGCTTCACTGGCTCATACCCTTCCGGTTCCATTGCTATCCTCTCTCTTAGAGTTAAATCTGTTGGGAAGGGGGGTGGGGGTTTGTATGGCTGGGTGGCTGAGGTGGAAAGGGGGAACTGGTTGGAGACAGAGGGAGAAGGAGGGGAAGAGAGTTTTGTCTCGAGGGACGGAGGGAGCGTTTCGGAGATATACCAGAATAGGATGTATTGGATGGAGTTTTGGTGTAAGGGGAGCAGTTGCGTCCATATGGGCTCGGCGGTGAGAGGGGGGGTGGAGAGGCGAGGGTAAGGCTGGGGTTGGAGATGGGGAGTGGGGAGGGGGAGGAGGCGGTTGCGGTAGCCTGACTGTTGGGCTTCCCGTTAGCTACAATATACTCTCCAAACATAATTCTGTAATAATAAAAAGCCATCGCTGCATATGGTCGCGCTGCTCCCACGCGCCCCCCCTCTTGTTGCCCCTATCTCCTCCAAACTACTCCCAACCCCATCCACCGTCAACATCAACAAACTCACCTCCTCAAACCCCTCTCTCTCCGCACCTCTCCCACTCTCCTCCCCTGCATCCCGCCTCCCCTTCGGCAAAAACCAATATTTCCGTCCATACCTGTCGCGCGCACTACATATCACGACGCGCTGGCTCGCGAGATGGAATATAGCGACACCAGCGGCGAGGACAAAGTTTGAGGAGGGAAACTGTAGGTGGGAGGCGGGCGTGGATGGGGGGGGAGTGTGCAGGCTTGTTGACATTGTGGATGCAGAGACAGCTCCGGAAGGGGTTTCATGGGCTTAGGAAAATTTGGGTTTGAAAGTATTAAGGAGAGCTGGGAATTTCAGTGGAGAAAAGAAAGTAGTAAATCAATCGATTCTTTGCCAGTGAAACAGTAGAATTGCTCCATCTTGAAGCCATATTGCTGCATGAGTCTGACGTTCAGTTGTTGCAAGCATGGTGACGTAGAGCCTTCGCTTAATTCAACACCTTATGCATCCGGCACATTCTGGCAGACTTTATGCAAATTTCCCGCACAAAGACCCTCCGAAGTTCTCAAGCGGGTCTGATGAGAATGGATGTCTCTTGGCTGTGCTAATTTTATTAGTATATATTAATAAAAATTAATAGTTTTCTCATCGAATAGCACTGGCCAATTGGCCCAATGGCAAGGCGCTTGACTACGACGTTGTCTAATCAAGAGATTGCAGGTTCGATCCCTGCATTGGTCATTCAGTTCTTTCTTTTTTGTTTTAGTTTTTTTTTCGTGGTTTTCGAGTTGATAGAGGCTTTCGGAAAGGAAAATGGCGCTGAAAGCTAGAAGGCATCTTTTTCGTACTGTGGGAAGGTATCACGACGGCCCTGCTATGCTGGGGATGATTAAACAACGTCAGGGATGAGTTTGGGTCTCGAAAGTTAAATTTTCAACTCGACACTTATATTTGTCGTGAGTTTACAACTACGACTGGCTGCGTATTGCAGTACTACCCAATTGGATCTATCTCACAGTGAAAACATTATTTCCTCTCTATCCCTTCAAATGCAAGCTTATAATTTGTGATCAGTAAGCAGAATGAGGTGAAAACTGGGTAGTCAACAGACTGTATTGTCCTGTTGATCATGTTCTGTCTTGTCCCCAGGTCTAATGAATTGTTAAGTATATATACATGTATTGTGTGCTGAGTTAGCAGCAAGTTGCTCCTACCATATGCCGTCTCGGCTGACATGATCTCTTAATCAAGACTTATTCCTTGCTCCTTAGGGTATCTTCCACTTTTTTGATAAGGTTGTCAATCCATAGTGGTGAACTGCGGCTCCGTAGTCGGGGCTGGAGTTTTTGTCTAGTGTCGTTAGTGGGAAGATTGGAATGTGTGGTTGATTTGCAGCCTGTCTGATGCTCAAGCTCTTAGTTCTCCTGGTAGTCCTAGTTCTCCTTCATGTCTTTCTTCCCTGATAAGCCTGTTGGAGACATCTTGAAGTGGAGGAGGCTGTTGGTTGTTGTTGTCAGGTAGGTCGGCTTGGTGAGCGATTGTCGGTTGGGTTGAAGGAAGCAGAAGAGAAGTGACGAGTAGTTGGTGACTAAATAGAGAAGAGTCCTAGGAGACGGGGATAGAGATGTTGCGGCTCCAAATTAATCTGAAAGTGAAAATGTGGTGACAAGAAACGATGTCCACCTTCCCTTGCTTTACTAATCCTCTGCTGTTGTTTTTCATTTTCGCTTTTTACATTCGTTCTCAGTATTTATGGATTAGAAATTTTTAATGTGATACCCAAATGACCGTCATTCAAAGGAGGGCTCAGCCGTCAATCTGATCATAGAGATCATTAATGCGTTTAAGAGCGACGCGAATTTCGTCTGCCGTTGATCCACCTCGATCTTTTCCCGCTGGCTAAACGATTTTTGGTATGGTCCTACCGGTAGTGGAACAAAGCCGAGAAAGTGTGCATTCTTTTACTTGTAGGTCTCCCATTCAGCAATAACCAAAGCGAGAATGTTCCTGATGGGCTTGGGGTCATGAAACTTTTGGGTTGCAACGTCGGACTCTCCATTTAGCGTTAAAGAGGCCGACCATATCTTCGCATATCTTCGGAAAGAGCACTGGATTTTTGTCTTTTTTGTGCAGTTCTTCCTTGTACTTGGTCTGGTAATAGCACCAAATTTGGCAACGCGATGACACAATTGCTGGAGCTTTCCTCAGTTTCGCCTCTGAGTTAACTTTCTCCTTTTTGTTCTCGACATTCTCGAGCAACAGGTCATCTAGCAGACGAACCTTTGTAACTGTGTCCTTTACTGCGGCATCGAGCGTATGTATTTCTCTCGTTGATTCCATTATCATGTCGCGCATTTCGCCAACCGCCTTGATCCCCTCATTATCTCTCGGGTAATCGCCTGATATGTATGCTGGAGCTGTCGAAGATTAAGGTCCTTGTTAAGAAGCCGTTGTGGAGAGGTAGAAGGAAGTCATTGTTGAGAGTTTGTAAAGGAGAGGAGATGACTGGAGATGAGAGATTGCAGAAGAGGTGTAGAGGTGTAGAGAGAAAGTCAGCGACTACTTATAGACGGTGCCGAACAAGAGACAGTGGTAGAATAATATAAAGGGGAAAGGAGATAATTTTAAGGCTTCTTCCTTTCCCTTCACTTTATCCTTGTTCCACTTTACATCTTCATCCTCATTCCACTTTCATCTTCATCTCACCTTTATTTTTCTGTTTCTTATTGGCTTTACTCATATCTTAACCCAAGGTCAGTCGGTCTTTATTTAGCTATAGGCGGTTTAGCATTGTGTTAGTCCATCTGGGTCGAATAAAAGCAAAGGCATCTACTATCGAACCAGAGATGACAATCGAAAATGGGCCACAGTGATCCAAGGCATCGACCCTGCTGGGTAGGCGATCCCATTTTCATCATCTTTGCAGGCATTGCACATTTTTCCCCCGGCACAGGCACAAGCTAATACTCAGAGACTGAATTATTGATATAATCAGCAGTGGCTGGATAACAAATGCACGTAAAATTGTGATTGGACCTCTTTAACAACCATACAAAGATACATTGTCTAGGGCATACTGTATCAGCTACTGAGATTGATGGCCACGAGAGTCACAAGTCGTACGAATTCCACCAACACCGTAAAAAAGAATAATATTACTTTCTGTATGCCATCGTAATTGTAGACCTATTACAGCCGCTTGATGTACGCTGCTTCTCGCTGTTGAAGCGAGCATATGGAGATGAAATCTCGGGCTTGGCACGCAACCATATCAATCATATTACCAAAGAAACCTTTCCCTCTCAGCTTATAAAAGCCTTTAACAAGGGTCTACGAAGTAGAATGTCTGCGAAAACTTTAGAGGCGCTAAGCTACTCCTACACAACTGAGACGCCGTGTTACCGAAGCTTGAGTTGAAGTTCCGTATCCATGGGAATTTAAAACCCTAAGTACCGCACGCGAGATAGAAGCTCACTCAGTGATTCTTTGTAATGGGATTTAAGGGTATAAAGAGCTCCTCAGTGCTTCTTTGTAATCGGATTCAAGGGTATAAAGAGCTCCTCAGTGCTTCTTTGTAATCGGATTCAAGGGTATAAAAGAGCTCCTCACCTGCTTCTATTATTTAATCATCTAATGGGATTGGGGAGGGATCTGCAACGGTAATGCATGATATGGTGTTGATGCGTACGCAAATGGTTAGTCTTCGACATGCATCTGAGGCAGCTAAGGTAGCAACAAAGCGTAAAAGTCATAAGAGGATGTATATTCGGAATGAAGAGACATTATCGTAGACGAGGTAGCCTACATACTTGTTTCTGATGCGGCTGACCGGCAGGAGGAGAGTGAGAAGTCTGTGAAGACAGCTCGCACAGAGAGGCACTGTGGGTGCTGCGGCAAGTCTGGATATAATTCCTGTATCTGCCAGGCATAAATTTTAGGTGTAGAACATAGCAAAGGCTCTGAGTAATCTATAACGATTATTTTATAATGGGGTAGCTTATTGTGGTGTTGAGTTATCTCTTGTAAAAGTGGGGGCTCTTGGTGGAGTGGCCGGGTCAGTTGTGGAATACGCTACCGTAATTATAGAGCCAAAGTAAATTTATCATTATCAACCTCTGCTTCCCCATTTCCAGCCTTACCACGACTCTAATATTTAGCTCCCAACCCAACAACCCCGCCACAGCCCCCAAAGAACGCGCGGGGGAATCAGACCGCTCACCTCGTGTTCAGCCGCACGTCGTCAACCTGCGCCCAGGCAACCTATAGGGACCAATCACCGTCTGCTTAGTCAACAAGATCAACCCTCAATGAACATGTTCGTTGCCTTGAGCATAGCCTTGCGCCACTATTTCTCACCTTCCGTCTGACCGCCACTTTCTCGCGATCAGAAGGTGCATTGCAGCTCTTCATGCGTTGTATGGAGAGATTTCTCCGGTGAGGCAGCTGAGGGGGGGCCTGAGAATGCTAGATGAGAAGTGGTGAGACATAGTGCCTGTTGTGGTGGGAGAGACAATATATCTGTCAGCTACCCTGTTCCCTTGTACGGCAATTCTCCTTCTCGTTTCCTCATTTCCTGTGGGAAAACAATACCTCCAGAAGGACCCTGAAGGAGCAAATAAGGCTCCATATACAAAGCAGAAAATTCGGAAAACTACTTGACCCGTTTCGCTCCAGCACCAACCAAACCCTACAAGGCTGACCTCAACGACCATCTTCCTTCACAATGGGCGATTTCATCGGCACCTTCGTAAATGTAGTATCCCTCCTTGAGATGGCATACAATCTCTATCAAGGTGTGCGCGCCGCCCCACAAGAAATATCCATGGCCGCCGAGTATGTCCATGCTATGGAGCTCGTCCTGCAGGGCGTAAAATCCGACATCATTGACACTAAAACCTCCTTCTATTACAAACCGGACGCGCGATCCAAAGCCCTCAAATCTAATCTACATTCGCACCTCTCCCTCTGTAAAAAGTCTCTCTTTAATGCACAGAAATTGTTGGAGAAGTACAATGATTTCAGGAATAAGGGAGTGAAGTTCTGGAACAAGTTTAGGTGGAGCGTGGAGGGGAAGAAGGAGATGGCGGATGTGAAATTGGATTTGGTGCTGAGTAATGTACAGTTGGATTTGTTTATGAGTAAGATCGGCTTGGGGGTGCTGTGGAAGGTCGAGGCACTTGTGGAGGCGTTTGCGCGGAGGTTTGATGCTTTGGAACGGCTTATGATGCAGAGGCTTGGTGGAGATGAGGTTTTCCACCAGCAAGATGGGACTACGAAGAAGATACCGCAGAATAAAGGGAGGTCCGGGAGTAATAATGTGAAGAGGGTGCTGGTTGTGAGTTTGATTGTTGCGAGGTTAAAGGCACTGTTGAGGAAGAAGAGGATGAAGAAGATGCAGAAGGAGGTGCTTGAGAAACGGAAGAAGCAGCAGAATAAGGGTCCGTGCAAGATCAGGCCTTCTACCAAAAGAGTAGATTCCGGCTTTGCGCCAAACAAGAGACGGAATTCCCTTCTGAAAAGTTACGCTAGTGACATTGCGGTTGCAAACGATACGCCTCCATCGAAACCACTACGGCCCCGTACTCCAAGCCCGATACGAGGTGATCCATTAGCTGGTTCATCCCTCCGGAGATCTAGCTCAATAGAAGGATTCTTGGGAGGTTACAACACCAAAATTGGGGTCCCGAAGCAAGAGAAAGAATACCTCGAATGCTGGCGGGTAGGAACCGGCTCCCCGGTCT